TTGAGAGGTGGACGAGGCCTTCGGCAGCATTCCTGGCCAGAGGCAGTGGGGCCCGAACTGGACACTCATCCTCAGCCTGTGGTCAGTTCAGATCTGAGGCCGTGTCTGTGCTCTTACTGGGGTCTGGGAGAGTTGGTGGCCACAGTGCAAATGAGGGGATGCTCAGCCATGGTGCCCCTCCCCCCTGCCCAGAAAAGGAGTGCACGCAGTTCATTCACTTCATTCAGTGTGAGCTGCTGGGTGAGAGGAAATGTCGGAGGCGGCGAGGGGAGCCTGAGAGGTGGCCAGTGAGTTGGAGCCACCCCAGGTAGGACTTCGTGAGAGCCGCTCTGGGATTTGAGCTGAGGGGCCATGTGGTGCTGAAGGAGACATTCATTCCTTCCTTCGTTCCTTCGTCAGCATTCATGCCCGTACTCATCACGGGCAGGGAGAGGACCAGGAGGGCTTTTCTGGGCTCCAGCTGCTCCTGGTCCCAGTTGACCCCCGGGACCCTCTGTTACTGGTGGAGGGTGTCCAGGTTCTTGGCGCTTTAAACAAAGAATTGGACAAAACACACAAAGCAAGGAAAGAATTAAGCAACAAAAGCAGAGATTTATTGAAAATGAAAGCACACTCCCTACGGTGGAAGCGGGCAAGCAGCTCAAGCGCCTGGTTATAGAATTTTCTGGGGTTTAAGTACCCTCTAGAGGTTTCCCATTGGTTACTTGGTGTACACCCTATGTAAATAAAGTACTGGCCCACAGTCAGTCCGATTGGTTGTGGAAAGTGACCAATCAGAAGCTGAAGTGAAGCACCCTATGCAAATGTCCGATTGGTTGTGGAAAGTGATCAGTCAGAAGCTGAGGTTACAAAGTTACACTCCTATGCAGTTGAAGACTTGGCCCAACCAGTTGTGGTAGGGGTACTTGCAGTTTTTCATCTGCCGTGCAGAAATGATAGGGGTTGCAAAGGAAGTAGCCTCTGGTCCTTTTGTTACTTGGGCATGGAATGCTGGGGTGTTCCTTTGGATTTAGTTCTAGGAAGTCAGTGTAAATTGGCCTTAGGTTCCCTGCCTCCAGACCCTACTCTCCTGCCTCACCTCCTGCTCTGTGTTCACGTGGATCTCAGGCCACAGACAACGGTGCAGAGGCCCAGACAGGGAAAGGGTCTCTTCCAGAGTCGCATGGCGTGCTAGCAAGCCTTGGGGCCTGCCCTCCAGCCCAGACTTGCTGAGCAGACACCCTCGGGCTCAGCTTTGTGCCTTCTGTGAAGACCCTCCCTTCTCACCTGGTGCCCTGCTCTCTGGCATCACCCAAAGTGGCCCTGCAAGTAATGCCTGTGGTAACTGAGACAGATGCTGCGTGGACATGGGGATCACTCCATGAGGCTGAGGTCACAGCTTGGTCCTTGGGGGACCAGAGGACAGGTCCTGGGGACAGTGGGAGAAGGTTGGGGGGACTGCTGGGGTGGGGGCTGCCTGCCCAGGGTCACTGGGGGCACCACTGTCTGTGATCACAGGGTGAACCTCGGCCTTGTTAATGCCACTGCGCTGATTTCACAGTTGTGCAAGGGAGGATGTTGGGCCTCAAAGCCAGTCCTGCTACTAAGAGAAGCTGCTGGCCAGGCACAGGGCCAGACTCCAGGGCTGGCACCACTCAGCTGCTCTGTTAGCCTGAACCTCAGTTTCCCCATCCATAAAATGGGGACACTAACATCACCTGTCAGGTGGCTGTGAACAGAGGCCTGTGACTGGCCCGCCTCAGCACTGCCCACGGAGTTGTGCAGGAGCGTTAGTATTTTGCCCTGCGCTTCCATGCATCTGCGGTACTGTGCCAAGCCCCGAGCTCTAGTGATGACCAGGTGCAGGAGCCACCTCCATCCCAGCACCTGGTCATCAGCACCTGCTGATTACCTCAGTCCAGGCCACCTCTCTGGGCTTCCCTTAGCTCCCAGAGCCCATTGCATGGTCGGGGAAGCCAGCCCTGAACTGGGGTCTAGGTTACAGCGTCTCCAGGAATATAAAGTACAACCACCTGAAAAGGGCCTCTGAGGACTAGAGCACGCACTCACTGTGTATGGGGGAAGCTGTGTTTATTGCACCTCCACTAGCCCCCACAGATCCAGGGTTAAGAGAGCTGACTGGAGCAGGAACAGTAGACTTTGTCACCCTCCGACTCCTGGTGGCCAGGGGCACAGTGAAAAGGGTAGGCAGCTTGCAGGAAGCAAGCCTTATTTGGGCTTTTTTCCCCAGCACGTTGCTTTTGAAAATTTCAGCCAGTCCTCTCTCTGAACCACAGTGCAGGGCTCCCAAAATGACTACACGTTGAAACTGTGCGATCTTAGTAAACCACGGGGAAAATGACAATTGTTCCATAATCTTTACAAACTTTTTTTTTTTTTTTTTTGAGACGGAGACTTGCTCTGTCACCCAGGTTGGAGTGCAGTAATGCGATCCTGGCTCACTGCAACCTCCGCCTCCCCAGTTCAAGCGATTCTCCTGTCTCAGACTCCTGAGTAGCTGGGATTACAGGCGCACACCACCATGCCCGGCTGATTTTTGCATTTTTAGTAGAGACGGGGTTTCACCATGTTGGTCAGGCTGGTTTCGAACTCTGGACCTCAGGTGGTCTGCTCATCTCGGCCTCCCAGAGTGCTGGGATTACAGGCATGAGCTACTACACCCGGCCGAAACTTGTCAGAACGTTGAAAGCTGTTTTACTATTGGTTATAAACGTAACCAACATGTTTTAATGTTTGGTTGTAACCATATAGAGAAATGAAAAAGATTGTACAGTAAAATTAATATTTAGTGCACTATAATTTAAAACATTGGGGCCAGGCGCATTGGCTCATGCCTGTAATCTCAGCACTTTGGGAGGCCAAGGCAGGTGTATTACCTCAGGTCAGGAGTTCAAGACCAGCCTGTCTAATATGGTGAAACCCCTTCTCTACTAAAAATACAAAAATTAGCCAGGCGTGATGGTATGTGCCTGTAATCGCAGCTACTGGGGAGGCTGAGGCAGGAGAATCAGTTGAACCTGGGAGGTGGAGGTTGCAGTGAGCAGAGATTGCACCACTGTACTGCAGCCTGGGCGACAGTGTGAGACTCCATCTCCAAAAATATAAATAAAAAATAAGCCAGGCATGGTGGCTCACGCCTGTCATCCCAGCACTTTGGGAGGCCAAGGCAGGCAGATCACCTGAGGTCGGGAGTTCGAGACCAGCCTGGCCAACATGGAGAAACCCTGTCTGTACTAAAAAATACAAAGTTAGCCATGCGTGGTGGTGCATGCCTGTAATCCCAGCTACTTGGGAGGTTGAGGCAGGAGAATCACTTGAACCTGGGAGGCAGAGGTTGTGGTGAGCCGAGATCGTACCATTGCACTCCAGCCTGGGCAAAAAGAGCAAAACTCTGTAAAAAATAAGAATAAATAAAAAATAGTGGGAACATAGTAGTTTGAGCAGTGTTTGCCTGTTCAGAACATCATCAGTTTTCGTTGATTTGCTGCACTTTTATCTGTGTTGGCCAGTTGCTCTTTCTTGTATCCATTTTTACAGAACGCCACATGGGTTTCACACTGGGAGACAAGGAGGCAGCACAGGTCACACCTTTGCTGTCTGTGCATGAACTGCTGACAGATACTCAGGGACCAATCACAGACTGACTTTGGAAGAAGTGTTGCAATTGGTCAGTGATCGTTGTACACATCTGTTACCTACATTTTGATTTGTGGACTGGAGAGCAGCCACAGAGCTTGTACTTTATGCAGTTACTCAGTTAATGTGCCAAGAACCGAAATTTGAACCATGTGGTTGGTGACTGCTGTTACTTAACTTAACCAGGATAACTGAAACTTGTATGTATCAGAACCATGCAAAGTGAGAACTGCCTGTAATTCAGGACTGATTAGAAAGTTTCCTAGGCCGGGTGCAGTGGCTCATACCTGTAATCCCAGTACTTTGGGAGGCCAAGGCGGGTGGATCCCTTGAGGTCAGGAGTTCGAGACCAGCCTGGCCAACATGATGAAACCCCGTCTCTACTAAAAATACGAAAATTAGCTGGCCCTGTTGGTGGTGCAGGCCTGTAGTCCCAGCTACTTGGGAGGCTGAGGTGGGAGAATCGCTTGAACCTGGGAGGTGGAGGTTGCAGTGAGTCAAGATCACACCACTGCACTCCAGCCTGGGGGACAGAATGAGACTCTGTCTCCAAAAAAAAAAAAAAAAAAAAAAGTTTTCCTAATGGGAATAGCAACCTAAAAAGTAAGATTTCTGATGTATTTGGTTCAGCAGAAGACTGTTGGCAGGTCATATCTTGGGCCTCAGCGCTGACAGTGCCTATGTGCTTTCAGCCTGGCTGGTGTGGAATGTGACGTTCCCATTCTCTCAGGCCCTGGAGGTGTGTAGGGAGGGAAGGAGGAATTGTCAGTGTTGAGTGCCAAGGACGAGGTTCAGATCTCAGCTCTGGCGTGTCCCACGTGGCCCTGGTCTGGTGTCTTGACCTCTGCGAGCCTCTCTTGCCTCCCTTGTAATAAAAGGGGAGCCCCGGTGAATGACTGCAGCTGGGTTGGTGAAGACTGAATGAGCTTCTCTGGAGTAGAGAGAAAACACTTGGGAAGAAGCTCTGCACGGGGAGAGAGGAGGAGCCCGTGGCATCCGGGATTTGGGCAGGTAGAAGGCAGGAGCAAACCAAGCGGTGCAGGCCCAGCCCTGCCGGGTGTCTCTCCAGAAGGTGTAAGATGCAGAGGCCACTGTCTTCCCTCTGAGGACCCCTTGGCCTCTTCTACTGTGACATGAGCACAGGGATCTAGTTGAAGAGCCGCCACCGTGGACCATGGAGGCCCCAGACGTGAGGCCGACCCAGCCCCTGCCGGTCTGGATGGGTGGGACTTGTCCACTCCCCATGTTTTTGGGCTAAGCATGCTGGTCTCCTGCTGCCCAGGAGGCCCCACCTCAGTCCCTGGGTCCCCCACGCCAGTGCCATGTGGTCTGGGACTCACTCTTGTCTCCCCTCCCACCCACAGGCAGCTACTGAAGACGGAGCTGGGGTCCTTCTTCACAGAGTACCTGCAGGTAGGTGGGTCTTGCTCCAGCCAGGCTGGGCCTGCCTCATGAGAAAGCACAGGGGCTCACCTGCCCCCGGGGGTGTGGGGCACCCGCTTCTCCACAGTCTGCCTGCGGTTCCAAGAACCTGCCTCCTTCCTTATCTAGCCACGTGGATTGTTGTGGAGATTTTTTTTTTTTTTTTTTGAGATGGAGTCTCGCTCTGCCGCCTGGGCTGGAGCGCAGTGGCCGGATCTCAGCTCACTGCAAGCTCCGCCTGCCGGGTTCTTCAGAACATCATCAGTTTTCGTTGATTTGCTGCACTTTTATCTGTGTTGGCCAGTTGCTCTTTCTTGTATAAGAGCTCATGGACAGGAGCTCGGGCCACCTGCTCCCTGCAAGGCCTCTCCTGCTGGCTCCTGGCCAAGTCGCAGATGATCTGTCCCTGCCCAGC